AGTAAAACTGTTGAGATATTGTAAAGCATATAAGGCTATACCTTATACTATAAAATCATGCATACAACAGGAATAAGTAACTCATCAAGGTTCTTCAGATATTTATCACAAAATCCTTTTGTTCATCTGATACGGTGAAGAGTTAAAGTATTTTAAGAATTATTTTCTAAGAGAAAAATGAAGCAAGTGTAATGCTAGCTTGTCTAGCTTGTCCTAACTGAGATTGACTTTCTCTCTCCTTTTACCAAGCTAAACGTATCACTATGAATGGGAAAGACAGGACAGTGGATTCAAGCGCTTCCTTGGCTGGTGGGGAAAGGAGAATTAGTGCTTCTTTTCTCCTGCAGTCCTCACCAGTCTCACACACATATTTTGCTCTTCTCTGGTCATCTTAATATGTTGCACTAAGGACAAAGGGACAAGTAAGTTATTTCTAGAGGTGAAGCATGAGTAATTCAAAAATTAAGGAAGTAAATGCGGGCTTTGAAGGTAACAGAAAATGGCCATAAATTAGCTGCAAGGCTTGTATAGGAGGTACACAGTGGCAATGTTGTTCAAATTCTTAGCAGCATGTCCAGAATTCCGTACTCTCAAGCAATCTGCTCTTTCTTCCTTCCTTCTATTCTCCCAAAAGTCCATACATGATGATATGGGAGAGTCAGCATGAAAAAGATAACTATACTATTTAACTGTTGTCATGGGATAAATTGTGGGTGTACTAGGTGCTATAAGTACAACGGAGACATTTTAAAAGCTTTCTATATCAGTAAGTCTAAAAGACTTAGACTATGCTTAGTCTATGAACTAAGCATACTTGAGTTCATGTATGACCTCCTAGAAGTTATGTGTCTTAGAGCATAATCAGTTGTTTGTTTGTTTGTTTGTTTGTTTTTGAGATTGAGTCTTGCTGTCACCCAGGCTGGAATGCAGTTCATGGAGAGCACGATCTCAGCTCACTATAACCTCCGCCTCCCAGGTTCAAGCTATTCTCCTGCCTCAGCCTCCCGAGTAGCTAGGACTACAGGCACGCAACATGCCTAGCTAATTTTTGTATTTTGTATTTTGAGTAGAGAAGAAGTTTCGCCATGTTGGCCAGGCGAACTTCTGACCTCGGGTGATCCACCTGCCTTGGCCTCCCAAAGTGCTGGGATTACAGGCGTGGGCCACCAGGCCTGGCCATAATCAGCTTTTTCATATGGGTCTAAGTGTCAAGCAAAGCTTATCTAACATACTTTGAATGTCTTGGTCTTTATGTTACTCTAGTGACCTCAAGGGAAGGCCACATTTGTCTGAGGTGACTGTGATAATAAGTATCTCAAAGTTGGCTTATTCAAATTTCTTTTTTTTTTTTTTTTGAGAGGGAGTCTCCCGCTGTCGCCCAGGCTGGAGTGCAGTGGCCGGATCTCAGCTCACTGCAAGCTCCGCCTCCCGGGTTTACGCCATTCTCCTGCCTCAGCCTCCCAAATCGCTGGGACTACAGGTGCCCGCCACCTCGCCCGGCTATTTTTTTGTATTTTTTAGTAGAGACGGGGTTTCACTGTGTTAGCCAAGATGGTCTCGATCTCCTGACCTCGTGATCCACCGGTCTCGGCCTCCCAAAGTGCTGGGATTACAGGCTTGAGCCACCGCGCCCGGCCTCAAATTTCTTAGATATAAGGACAGACCACTGGGTTAATCATTTACTCTTGAGGATTTCACAAGATTTTTTAAAAAATCTTGCAAGATAAGAAAAAGCATAATTAGAGTTTTTATTATTGCATGTTGATATTGTACTTTTGGAATTAGAAAGCCAAGGGAGCTGAATGAATTGTCTGACTCTTAAAAATGCCTTCTCATGATAAAAAGCTGAAATTCTTGGTACTTAAATGTTCCAGGAATTTGACAGGTTACTATTTTGCTAATTCTGTTCCTTATTATTACTTTTAAGCGAAAGCAAGTTTATTAAGAAAGTCAAGGGCAGGCCGGGCGCGGTGGCTCAAGCCTGTAATCCCAGCACTTTGGGAGGCCGAGGCGGGCGGATCACAAGGTCAGGAGATCGAGACCACAGTGAAACCCCGTCTCTACTAAAAATACAAAAAATTAGCCGGGCGCGGTGGCGGGCGCCTGTAGTCCCAGCTACTCAGGAGGCTGAGGCAGGAGAATGGCGGGAACCCGGGAGGCGGAGCTTGCAGTGAGCCGAGATCGCGCCACTGCACTCCAGCCTGGGCAACAGCGTGAGACTCCGTCTCAAAAAAAAAAAAAAAAAAAAAAAAAAAAAAAAAAAAAAAAAAGAAAGTCAAGGGCTATGGCTGCTCCATAGGCAGAGCAGCCTGTTCCTTATTTTTATCTAGAAAATTCATTATACCTTAAGTAGAAATTAGAGTTCATAAACACAGCTGTGTCATCTTTGAACATAAAAAGAACACAATATTTATCTGGCAGTAGTTGGTAGTTAAGTGAGGGCATGGTTGGAAATACAAATATATAATAAATGATCCAGGCCGGGCATGGTGGCTCATGCCTATAATCCCAGCACTTTGGGAGGCCTAGGTGGGTGGATCACCTGAGGTCAGGAGGTCAAGACCAGCATAGCCAACATGGTGAAACCCCATCTCCACTAAAAATACAAAAATTAGCCAGAGATGGTGGCACGTGCCTGTAATCCCAGCTACTTGGGAGGCTGAGGCAGGAGGATTATTTGAACCTGGGAGGCGGAGGTTGCCATGAGCTGAAATCGAGCCACTGTACTCCAGCCCAGGTGATAGAGCAAGACTGTCTTAAAAATAAATAAATAAATGATCATTTCCACATCATAATGTTTATAGTACATAGAAGTTTATGGTAACAAAAATGTGCACTTAGAGAGGCAACACAGTATAGTGGTTTAAATAGAACATGGATTGGGAAGTCACACAAGATGGACTTAAATCCTGGCTCTTAAACTTATTATCTGAATATAAGTCAGGCGTAGTGGCTCACGCCTGTAATCCCAGCACTTTCGGGAGGCCACGGCTGGCAGATCACTTAAGGTCAGGAGTTTGAGACCAGCCTGGCCAATATCATGAAACCCTGTCTCTATTAAAAATACAAAAATTAAGCCAGGCACAGTGGCTCATCCTAGCACTTTGAGAGGCCAAGGCAGGCAGATCACGAGGTCAAGAGATCAAGACCATCCTGGCTAACATGGTGAAACCCCATCTCTATTAAAAACAGAAAAAATTAGCTGGGCATGGTGGCATGCACCTGTAGTCCCAGCTACTTGGGAGGCTGAGGCAGGAAAATCGCTTGAACCTGGGAGGCAGAGGTTGCAATAAGCTGAGATCGTGCCACTGCACTCCAGCCTGGGCAACAGGGCAACAGAGCGAGACTCTGTCTCAAAAAAAAAAAAAAAAAGAAAAAAAAATTAGCTGGGCATGGTGGCACACACCCATAGTCCCAGCTACTTGGGAGGCTGAGGCAGGAGAATCGCTTAAACCCAGGAGGTGGAGGTTGAAGTGAGCCAAGGTCACACTGCACTCCAGCCTGGGTGACACAGTGAGACCCTGTCTCAAAAAAAAAACAAAACAAAACCAAAACAAAACAGAAAAATCGTATTATCTGAATAGCTTGTTTCACCTTTCAGGGCCCCAGTTTTCTCTTCTGTAAAATGAGAATTAGTGAAATAATACATATAAGAGGCCACAGTAAGCTCTCAGCAAAGGATAGCTATTAGCAGAATTCAAGAAAGTAAACGCTCAGTTAGGACTATATGTTTAATAATTTAAAAAGCTTCCTTATATCTTGTTGCTAGTAAAAGGACTCGGGTATTCACAAGTGTAGTTTTCTTATTTCTAAACCATATGACTTATGGAATTACAAGATTATAAAGCCAGTTGAAGAGTCATCTAGGGAAGAGATTCCAGGGCCTACCCAGCCCTAATGAATCCAAATTTCTGCAGGATGAAGGCTAGGAATGTATCTTTTTCAAAAAATCTCATTTGATTCTGAAGACGACCCAAGTTTGGAAACCACTGAGGTGGAGCATTTCTGGGCATGGGTGTGCTGAGAAAAACCATGGTTATGCCAAGAACTGTTCATTCTTGGAGGGTTAGTGGGGTGGGGTGCTAAAGGAGAAGTTACCGGTGAGATTGTTTGTGATGCTTTGTAAATTGCAAAGCACTACAAATGGAGGGTACTGTTATGCAAAGGAGTATGATCATGAACTGTTGGTGCTGGAGATTTTAGAAAATTGAGGCTCAGAGTGGTTAATGTAGCTTGTTTCAAAGTTAGGCAGCAAAGCAGGCAAAATACATATGGTGTTATATAAGTGCCAAATGGGTGTCAGAGACACGAAATGTCATGAGAACTCGGGATGGGGGCTACTGTGGGCTGGGAATATTACGAAAGACTTCTTGGGGAGATGCAAATGAGGAATTGGTCTTGAAGGATGATTAAGATTCATATTAGTAATACAGAGGATGGGGGAACTGAGCAAAGACATAGAGAGAAGAATGCATCAGGCAGGTTTGCGAAGGTGTGAGTTAGACCTGGTGGTAGGCTGGAGCACAAAATTCATGTGGAGGAGTGGTAGGGGAAAGAACTTGTGGAGGGCCTTAAATTCTAAACTAGGGAACTGAGACTATCTTGGTAAGCAGAAGGGATCCAAAGAAGGTTTCTGAATAGTACATAAGTAGGTGGAAAGTGAGAGCATAAAAGCAGGGCCCTTGAATCCAAAGGGCCCACGGAGAAAGGCTAAAAGCAGGAGGCCACTGCGGTGTTCTAGGCATGAGGCCATAAGGTTTGAAAAGTGGGAAAGAAGAAAGCCAGATGGTGTAAGTGCCACAGGAGCAATGGACAGTTCTTGGAATATTTATGGGGATCAAAGGAGAAAGAGGAGGCAACCGCTGTGAACCTGAGGGACTGGAATTATGATGACACCATTGACAGAAATGGGAGCCCAGGCTGGAGGCAAAAAAGGTTGGTTTGAGACAGATGGTGGCACTGTTACAGTGCTCTGTAGGGAAACTTTGGACACAACTCACCTTCATGTCCTCGAAGTTTGTTATCCCCATCTGAGGGAGGTTTGAGCAGTTGACGTGAATGAGTTTTCGGCCACTGATGAAGTTTGTGATAAAACATTCCTGTCAATACAAGGACATCACTTAAAAAATGCACTGCAAATAGAAGGAAGAAAGGGGGGGAAGAGAGAGGAAGGGAAGAAATCATGTTTGTTCTATCCTGAGAAAAAAACATTTTTTCTTTTCTTTTTTTAGAGACAGGGTCTTGCTCTGTCATCCAGGCCGGAGTGCAGTGCCGCAGTCATAGCTCACTGCGGCCTCAAAGTCCTGGGCTCAAGCAGTCCTCCCGCCCGAGCCTCCTGAGTAGCTTAAATTTATTTTCTATCCCAATAATGGCACAATTTGTCCATGTAAGCTCTTTATTAAATTTTACACTGCTCTTTAACCTTTTTTTTGGCATGGTACAACCAGTGCTTCTTCATGTCTCAATTACATTTGTAAGTATAGTAGGTACAAAAGGTTTCAGATCTTGTTGTTTTGTGGTAGCCTTAAACCTAGTTGGCATCAGTGAAATAAGAGGTTTACACTGTCTTTTTATTAAAACTATTTTTGGTTAACTGGCTGACTTGAATTAATACACTTATGTGCTCATGATACATGTGACATTATTTGGGGCCGACACTTGAAAGAGTAATGGCACAAGTTCAAAGTAAGGGAGCTGCCACTAAAACAACTTGACAAAGTACCAAAAAGCCTACCTTGAACAAAATCTACTTAAAAATACAGTTTTCCATGAAAGGAGGTCTAAGGCGGGAAACGGTGGCCCACGCCTGTAATTCCAGCACTTTGGGAGGCTGAGGCTGGCGGATCATGAGGTCAGGAGATCGAGACCATCCGGGCTAACACAGTGAAACCCCGTCTCTACTAAAAATACAAAAAATTAGCTGGGCGTGGTGGCAGGCGCCTGTAGTCCCAGCTACTTGGGAGGTACTGAGCAGGAGAATGGCATGAACCCAGGGGAGGTGGAGCTTGCAGTAAGCCAAGATCGTGCCACTGCACTCCAGCCTGGGCGACAGAGTAAGACCCTGTCTCAAAAAAAAAAAAAAGAAAGGAGGTCTATATACTCTTCTCGGTCTTTTATTCAAGGATTGCAGAGAAGTGTAATCACTGGAAGAGGAAAAACAAACAGATGTGACCCTCCCTTCCTCTCCCAAAATACAAATATACATCAGTGGCAAGGCCAAAATTAAAATCCAAGTTACCTCTACCACAGTCCAGGACTTTTTGATACTCCTTCCGGTAAAGAGGTAAGAGCTCAAGCCAGGTTAGAAGGAATAAGAGGTAGACAGATGAGAGCATGTGATTTCAAAAAATCTTATTTTTGTATACCTTGTATTGAGGGAAGCCTAGCTGGCTAATCCACTCTGCAACTTTCTCTGGATCCCAATTAAGATGCTCAAATTGTAACTCAGTCCCTTGTTTTGACTGGGTTTCATCATCTTCAGAGACCAGTTCCTTCAAGTCTTGGGACAAATCTACAACTTCCTTTTCATGAACAAACTCGTTTAATTCTGTCAGAGACTCTGAGGGATCTAAGTATGAGCATACTTCACTGACATCAAACGATTTTTGGAGTAGTTGTGAAAACTCGTAATGTGTACCAATTGATTCTTCACTTTCTCTGATAGATCCTAATGCATAGTATTCTTTTTTAAATTCGTCACTTAGTGACCACTTTCCTTTTTTAGGCTCACGGAACTCTAGCTCATTCTTTCCTACAGAATACTTAGACTTGATTGGTTCCGGCCTGTCTTCCTTGGGAAATTCTACATGTGTCTCTCTTGGTTTGGTTTCATCTGGTAACTCTAGATTTTTCTCCTCAGTTGGCTTTGTTTGTGTTTTCTCTTCAACTTGTGGGTTGATTTCCTGTGGTGGCACTAGACCAGTCTCCTCTGGTGGTTGTGGATTTTTTTCCTCATTTGATTTTCTTATCTCTTCTGGACTTTCTGGTTTCATCATTTCTGATTGTTCTAGAATTGTTTCCTCATTTGGTTTTCTTGATTCTTCCTCGGGAAACTCTAATTTGATCTCTTCTAGTGGCTCAGGGACGTTCTCATCAGTAGACTTTCTTGACTTGTGGTCTGGAAGGTCTGGTTTAGTCCGCTCAGGTAGTTCTGTCCCTTTCTCCTCAGTTGCCTTTCTTTGCATCTCCCCTGGAACCTCTGGTTGAGTCTCTTCTGGAGGCTCTAGACCTGCCTCCTCACTAGACTTTCTTGGTTCCTTCTCTGGAAATTCTGGTCTCGCTTGCTCAGGTGGCTCTGTCCTTTTCTTCTCAGTTGACTCTCTTTGTGTCTCCTCTGGAATATCTGGTTTGGTCATCTTTGGTGGCTGAAGATCTGTCTCTTCAAGTGATTCTCCTGGTTTCTCACTTGGAAAATCTAGTTGGGTCTGCTCTGGAGGCTCTACACCTGTCTCTTCATGTTGCACTCTAAGTGATTTCTCTGGAACCCCCAGTTCCGTCCCCTCCTCTAGTAATTCTAAATTTCTCTCTCTTACTGTGGCCCCTGAAACCTCAGACATGGTTTCCGTTGGTGGCACTGGATCTGTTTCCATAGCTGACTCTAGGAACACATCCTCTGTAACATTTAGTTTGGCCTCCTCTGGTGGTTCTAGGTCTGACTCATGCGTTTCATCCATAGGGGCCTCCAAATCTTTGAAAAACTCTCCCATCTCTCTTTCCGACTTTACCTCTTGGGGAATCCCTGGTTCAGTTTCGCTTGGTACGTCTCTCTTGGACTCCTTGGCAATGCCTTCCAGGGCCGTCCCGCCAGGTTTCAGCTGCACGTTCTTAGCACTCTTTGGCTCCCCCTCTCTGAAGTCCTCTTCCTCGGTCTCTGGCTGTGGCTCGTGATAAATCTCTGCTGGTAACTTCGAGTCTGCCTCTGCCATGGTGTCTCGTTCGGCATTTTCATATGATTTATGAAGTTCAGGCCTCTCAGACTCCGGCTCTCCATCTTCATCTGGGCCGGAATCGTAATCCTCCGGGACTTCAGCCATTTGCAGCTTAGCGGACGCGCCGCGGCTTCCTAGCAACCCCAACTTCCGATAGCGTCTCTATGGATACCACGATTTCCGGCAGTGTATTCCTGACTCTTCCCCAGATTTTGTTTGTTCTTTCAAGCCCTGACTTTAAAAATCGGCTATCAGAAAGCACGCGGTAACCTTCCCCGTGGCCGCATCGCCAGCCTCCGCGGGCCGGAGCTACTGCGGCCGCCCCTGGGTCAGCTAAATTTTCAAGCGGCCGCCGCACCGCTTCTTCCGGCCTGCAGGCTGCGCTCGGTTGTGCCCGGCGCTCGCTCGGCCTTCGGCTGTTTCCGGAGCCACTTGCGACTGGCAGAGGAGAGCTCCGCGCGCGGGCTGCAGATGTCTGACCTGCAGGCGGCTGAGGGGCCGGGCTCCTGGAGCCCCACAGCCCGCCGAGGGTCGGCTGGCGGCGTCGGGGACTGCCAGGGAGTGGAGGGGAGCCAGGCGGCCGCCTCAGGTACGCAAGGCCGTGGCGCTGGCGGGTGGGTACTGCCCGGCCTCAGGGCCCCGCGCCACGGCGCGAGCCTCCGCGGCGCTCTGTCCTGGGCTTCCCCGCGGAGCGGACCCATCTCGGCAGCCCCTTCGCGCGCGGGGCCCCTTCCCCGCCGCTGCCACCACCCGGGCCCAGGGCTCGAGGTTATTCTCTGCTCCTGTTTCGAAATGCCTTGATTCCTGCCCCGCTTCCTTTCTGAGATCTGCCCAAATGGTAGTGACAGGGTGGCTCTGCCCCTGGCGCCTCTTCAGCTTCAGTTTCAGCTTCAGCCGGGGTTCGGGTCCCACCTCCGTCTGCTGATCACATCCAGACTGCCGATCTGAACCCTATTGGCCTCGCCGCCCCCTGCTTCCAGCTCCCCACTCGATCCCCACCTCAGTCCTCTGTCCCAGCCTTCTCACGCGCCTCACTGCCCCCATCCGGGTTGGCAGCCTTGCCTTCCTCTGCCAGAAGCCCACTTCGCCCTAGCCTCCCTGTACATAGGCCCCCTGGCCTTGCTGCCATCCTCTCCATCGCTCAGAGGCAAAAATGAAAAGCAGAGTTGAAATAGGTAGTCTTTGGGGTCTTTTGATTGAACACAGTAGCCAAAGCAAGAGCAGGAATTAAAAATTGGGGCGACCTCCCTCATTCTCAAGACCCTCATCCTCTTCTTGTCCAGGACGACGTCTCCATTTCTACCCACGCGAGTTCCTCCGTGTGTATGATTTCAGTGTCCAAAGACAAAAGAGTCCATCCATCACACTCTCTTCTTTCAGCCTCCTGAACACCACACACGATGCAACTGAAAGGATGCTCTTTTGAAATACGAAAGGGTAGAGGGGAGAGAACTGGTCTTATTAAGTAGCAAATATAAATTAATTTTCTAGGTCTGAAATTAAAATAGACACCATAAAGTATAGTGGTTGAGGCACTACCGTGGAGTCAGGGTGCCTGGATTGGAGTCTGAAACCTCAGTTTCCTCATCTGTAAAATGTGATTACTAAAAGATACCTGCCTCGTAGGATTATTGTGAGGATTACTTGAGCTGCTTTGTCTAAGGCATTTGGTGTGGAGCCCATGGTACACACTATACTCGTCTCATCCATTGTGACAGTGAGGTCTCTTTTTGTTCAGGTGAACTTCCTGTGCTGCCAGAGGTGTTCCTGGATGTACGGCTTCCAACATGGTGCCTTTTTCTCTCTTCTACTCCGATCCCAAGTATCTTCCCTCTCATAATGCTGCTTTACTCAAACACACACAACTCACCCAGCTCTTTCCCATGGCTTTATATTGTCTTACTTTAAAGCATCTAACAAAATTTGCCTTTTTTTCTTACAAACTCTGCTTTGTATTACATTAAAAATCGCTGGCATGTATTTAAGATTATAGCAGTAGAAATTCTAAGCATAATTTCTAAAAGACTAAGCAAATAAACAGAAAGGTGTGTAAGTCTTATAACACTTGTCCCTTGCATGCGCCAGTATTTATTAAAAAAAAGGCATGTTTTTACTTCCCCTTTAGGTTCTCATGTGTTTATGGCAAACATACCCACGCGTTTTAGATAGATGAGTGTTTTTTTCTTTTCCCCCAGACAGCTAATTCATTCCTGCATTGAATTCCTCCCAGGACACTGGTAGAGATGCTTACTTTCCTTCCTCTTACCCTCAGAATGCAGGGTGATAGTTTTTTTGTTTTTGTTTTTTTTTAAATGTCATGTAGGAGTTTATTATAGTAGCCCAGAGCAAGCTCTTCCTCTTGAGGTAGGATTCGTTGCTAATAAAATAATAGTAATGATAACCTACAGGTATTGAATGCTTATTCTGTGCCAGAGGTGGAAAAAAATTTACTTATATTTTCTGATTTAGTCATGTCAACAATCATTTTCTCCCCGTTTTACAGAGGAACAAACTACAGCTGAGAAAGGTTAACTTACCTGTTCGAGTTAGCGCAAGTTTTTACTGTCTATATGAAATTGTCATCTTGTTATGATGAAGTCTATAAATGATTGTTTTTATTGGCCATGAATCAAGTATTGGTACTCACAGACAGGTTATGGTCTTTGTCCTCAAGGTGTTTTCAGTTTGATGAGATGAGAGATCCAGTTCAGGGGAAAACAATTAACAATTCAAAACATTATATAATTGGGCGTCTTTTATTACAATTCTTTATCTAAGAAACCTCCTTGAAGGTAGGAACGGAATCTCTCTTGCTTGTTTATCTAGAGCCCTTGATGTTGTGTTTTAGAGGTTTCACAAATAGTTGCTGAGTTTGATGGTGAGAGAAAGTCTATATGCAGAGATTTGGATGAGCATCTAATGAATGTGAAGAATTAGGGTTGAGATAACCAAGAATGTTCCTTGGTTGAGAGCAGTGGTTCTCAACCAGGTACGATTTTGTATCCCCAGGGCATGGCAATGTCTGGAAACATCTTTGCTCGTCACAACTGGTTGCAGCTATTGCTGACATCTAGCGAGGATAGGCGAGGGATGTTTGCTAAACATCCTGCAATGCACAGGGCAATCCCCATGACAAAGAGGCATCTGGCTCCAGATGTCAGTAGTGCTGCTTTTGGGAACCTTGTGTTAGAGTTAAGCTGGGCTTCCAAAGCAGTGTGAAAATATTATATTTGGCCTGGACCAGAGGCTTGGGAGTAAACCCCTAAAAACTGCTTTAAACTTGGAATTTGTTTGATTGGATCCTTGTGCCATCTTTCTCTAGAAAATGATACAATGAGTAAGCAATAGAGTTCTAAGAAAGAATGAAATTGAATGAGATTTCTCTCACCCTCTCAGAGAGAAAACAGCAGTAAGAAATGGAATTGGATATTCAGGTGTTCTATTTGTCCATTGGAATACCTGAGACTGAGTAATTTATAAGAAAAGAGTTTTAATTGGCTCATGGTATTGCAGGGTGTACAGGAAGTGTGGTGTTGGTAGCTGTTTCTGGTGAGGGCCTCAAGAAGCTTACAGTCATGCTGAAAGGGGGAACAGGTACCTCACATGGCGAGAGTCAGGAGAGAGAGAGAGAGAAACCAGAGGAGGTCCCAGACTCTTTAAACAACCATATCTCAGGTGAGCTAGCTGAGCGATAACTCACTTATCATCAAGAGAATGATGCCAAATCATTCTTGAGGGATTCATCTCCACGATCCAGTCACCTCCCACCAGCCCTCACCTAACATTGGAAATCACATTTCAGTGTGACATTTGGAGGGGACAAACATCCAAGCCATATCAGGTATTATTGGATTAAAGGTTTTGGTTTTTCACTGTATCTTATTCCTTCAAAGCAGGAATGTGTCATTCTCCAGAATAACCATAACTTGTTTTTTAAAAGTGTTCTCTGCCGAGAATACCTATTGAGTGTCTTCATGTTTGTTAGCTGAGGTTTTGGTGAAAAGGAAGAAAATAATTTATGTTCTTATGAACTAAGCTCTCCAGTGGTCATGGTGTTCTTATTGTTTTATACATTGTAATTGTTTTTAATAGTCTTTTATTTGAGGCACCTGGGTTCTTCAGTGCCCAAGAGGAGAGATGAATCGTTCTTTAATTATGAAACTCTCTGAGGCATACTTGTTGCATCACTTAAAGGCAGGTTTTTTTTGTTTTTGTTTTTTGAAGTTTAAAGGAAAATAAAGCTCTATAGTGATCCTGAAGTCAGCAGTAGAACTTAGTTTGGTGTGTATGTCCCCCAGAGCTATCAATCCATTTAGATGCTGAGGATGGAAACAGGTCAGGTAGATTTGTTCATGGTTCTAAGTTAGGAGTTAGAATATTACAATAAGTCTTTTTGCGGTGATGAAAATATTTCATATCTGTCCCAGCTACTCAGGAGACTGAGGCAGGAAAATCGCTTGAACCCGAGAGGCGGAGGTTGCAGTGAGCCGAGATAGCACCACTACAGTCCAACCTGGGCGACAGAGGGAGACTCTGTCTCCAAAAAAAAAAAAAAAATTCTGTGGCTATTTCAATTTACGTGAATTAAAGTTCAAAATTTGGTGGCTACCATGTTGAATGGTAAGAATCATTGTGAGTCTATGACAAACAGCCTTGATGTTTTTTGGTTTTCTATTGTGGTTTTATGTCATAACGTTAACATTTTGTCTGCCTGTGGCTTTCTTTTTTACAGTCGTTGTGTTTTTAGTGTCCAGATAGTCAATTAGTCAGAGAGTTGATTAATCATGTCGTGATTCAGTCTAAACAGTATAACCAAAGGTGCACAATCTGAGTGGCCACTCAGGAGCATGTCCCACTCAAGAGCTGAAGAGAAATTGGATCACATGGTCATTAGATTTGGTTGGAACATAAGCTCACTTAATTTGTTTTCATTTAAGCCTCTTGAGTCTGTAACCACATAGCCTGCTTTTAGTTCCTCTGCACTGGAATCTAAAATGACAGGCTAATTATCTCTTTGCAGCCTGTTTACTGAGGGGGAAATCCTCTGAGGCCTGTTCTAAAGAACCCTGACCTGATATTCAAATGCTTTTGAAAAAAACCTGCTTTTTGGTTCTCCTTGTAGGGAAAGTACGACGTACACAGTAAGTTTGAATCCCTAGCATGATCAGAATGTCTGAAACTAGACCCTTTGGTAACATAGAAAGAAAATGCACATTTAAAAATTGTCAAATATAAAATAAGTTATTTTAAGGAAGTTCCTTTTTTCTCTCTCACCTTCACTTTAGTGGCCATCAATGATAAATTAAGTTATTGTTAAGCTTCCATTTTCCCTCCTTCGTTCATTGTTTCCGAGATTTTGGCCACTGAGGAACCATGGTAATGACTTT